GGACTTCAGAATTTGAAAAAAATAAACGTGTGACTATAAGATTTGTACGACTTGAGCAGGATGTGGTAGGGCACACCTGTAATCCCGTCACTAGGAGTCTGAAGCAGGACACTTTGAGTTCTTGGCTGGCCTATGCTGCACAGTGAGACCTTGTTTCAACAAACCTAGAACACACTTTTCTTCCTGTCTTGGCTGTGACCTTAGTGTCATTTTCTTGGCTCTGCAGTGATAACCTTTTGTGTTGTCTTGGTGAATTACCTTGCACTAAAGAGATAGGTCTTAATATTTCGTAAATGTGGTGGTTTGCAGAATAATGACAACATGGACTCATGTATTTGAGTGCCTACTTACTAGGGAGTGGCACTATTTGAAAGGATTTGGGGCTGTGGCCTTGTTGGAGGAAATATGTCACTAAGGGTGGGCTTTGAAGTTTCAAAAGCCCAAGCCAGGCCCAGTGTCACTCTCTCTCTCTCTCTCTCTCTCTCTCTCTCTCTCTCTCTCTCTCACCCTGCAGACAGGATGTAGCTCTTAGGTCCTGCCTCAGTGCAATGCCTGTCCCATGCTCTCTGTCATGGTGATGATGGACTAAGCCTCTGAAACTCTAGGGATGCCCCCAATTAAATGCTTTCTTTCATAAGAGTTGCCTTGGCCTCGGTGTCTCTTCACAGCAGAAGAACAGTGACTGAGGCAATGAACCAATGTATTAGGTTATTAAAATGCAGAGCTTACAGGGCATTGTTAGTGTGTTCTCCCTTAGCGCTAAATTTGAATTGTAGTTGAGTGTTCCTAGTGAGAACTGGGTACTCTTGATCAAAAAAAAATTACTATTATGCTATTCTGAAACAAAACCTAAGGTTTGGCTGGGCATGATAGCACATAGCTTTAGTTACAGCACTGGAGAGGAAGCGGCAGGCAGAGATCTGTGAGTTTCAGACCAGCCTGCTTTACATATCAAGTTCCAAGCCAGTCAGACTTCCATAGTGAATTCTTGTCTCAGGAAAACAAAACAAAAAACAACCCAGTGTTTGGGCTCAGAGAATATGTATGTGAGACCTGCCAAATACCTCCTCCATAGCCTTCCTGACCTTCGTGATAAGAACAATGATAAACATCTCATGAGGACTATGATGAGGTCCTAAAAAATTCAGAATATTCTTTCACAGCTTTAAAGGAATTGCACAAGTGTTACATGCCTGTTAGGTTTGTGTTTGGTTTTGGGATGTTTTTCTGTTTGTTTTGTGGGGTGGTTTGTTTGTTTGTTTGTTTGTTTGTTTGTTTGTTTGAGACAGGGTTTCACTGTGTAATAGTCCTGGCTGTCCTGGAACTCACTCTGTAGACCAGGCTGGCCTTGAACTCACAGAGATCCGCCAGCCTCTGCATTAAAGGCGTGCACCACCACCTCCTGGCATTGCCTGATAGGTTTTAAACTCTTACTGGTAGGAAGAATACAGACTGGAAGTGGAGGAGTCTGGGCCGTGCCCCTTCCGGGAGCCGGGAGCTAAGCAGGTAGTTTAGTTTAAAGCCACTACTTCATCACCCAGGGAACCCTCTAGGGTCATGACCCTTTGAGAGGAAACTGGATAGCAAGTGATGAGGAAAGCAGTCCTCGCCAAAGGCAGGGTGAGAAGAGGCTAATTCCCACTCCGCTGAGCTGGAGATGGGTTTCTGGGACAGAAGACATAAAGCATGACCACTGATCTCCAGGATGTGGCCAGAGCACACAGGACAGCAGGTTAGCAGTGACGTGAGATAGTGTGTGAACCTAATCTGAACACTGACGTGGATGTATGAACTACAAATAAACAGATACAGCGCCACTCTCAAAGGCCAGTCTTTCACGAATTCAGTCAGAGTCATTGTTCCCTGAATAGCACATTGGTCTGCAGTGACCTCTGAGATTATAAGAACAATGGACTGGCCCTGAACACACGCCTGTGTTTCCATGCACATGCTGAAGTAAAAGCATTGATTGCTGGGGCTGCAGGAATCTAAAGACGGCCACTGATGGACTCAGACAGCACCAGGAATCCCCTAGGCGGATGCCCAGGATTTGATGCCACATTACATAGGATCTGTGGAGTTCCTGGCTCAGGTCTGACTCATTACAGTTGGGTCCTTTTCTCCTTTTCTCCTCTCTGTCTGTCTCTGTCTCTGTCTCTCTCTGTCTCTCTCTCTCTCTCTCTCTCTCTCTCTCTCTCTCTCTCTCTCTCTCTCACACACACACACACACACACACACACACACACACCACCCCCAGACTTTCTTCCTTCAAGTGTCATGGATAGACAGAAATCTAAGCAGCTTGCAAGATTCCTAGAAAATCCAATTATCTCAAAGAAAGCTAGACTCACAGGCCTTGCCTGGCTCCTAAAGAGGCCTGAAGAAGAGGAGGGCTAGGAGAAAAGAGGGACTCCTACCATTGCAGGAACAGCTGGTGCCTGGCGAACTGGTCCTGCGGTATGAGGAGTTTGAGGGGCTTGAATGGGACAGTGGCAGACCTCAGAAAACTTGAAGGTCTTTTTGGTCACTAAATCCACAGGTCCAGCTAAGGCACCACCTGGGATTACATGGAAAAGCACCCCCAGATAGATACTCTTCCCTACCAATCCTCAACTTCACCCAATAGCCAGAGCTAAAAATAGTCACTGCCAAATTTCTTGGGGACTTCCTAGCCTCTGTGTGTCAGTCTCCAGTTTGGGCTGTATAATGGCTTCACTGAGCCAAAGGGTTCCTTCGGAAGTCCGATGGCCAATAAAATCGTACCTTTAAAACTTGGGCCTGCAGCTGTTTGGCTGTGGAAAGAGCACAGAGGTTCGAATGCCTTATCACTCTCAGCTTTAACTTGGAGACAGTGATTGCACCACTGCCCTCCTAGAGCTATTGTGAAGGATAACAAAGAGAATTTGAATCTCCTAGAGCAGTGGGCAGCATGCAGGAAGGCCCGAGCAAGTAATGGCTCTTGCCCATTTTCCCCTAGCAGTGAAGCTTGCAGCCCAGTGTGCTGGGTAAGGAAACAGGGGGTTGATCAGTTCATGTGTCTGAAAAACTTCAAGCCAGGTCTGGTTTCAGGCACAGCTTGCTTCACAGCTTGAACTGCGGCTCTCATTTCTTCATCGGCATTGGCAAAGTTTCTGTCGACTGCCCGCCCCTCCGTGGAGGCGGGATGGTGTCAGCTCTTCAGTCAATCTACATCTCTATAGAGGCAATGCAGAGGAGGCCACCTTCCCCTTCTCCCCCAAGCTCAATCGGGGGTCATTACACTTTGCTCCTGAGCCTGCCACTGAAGTCAAGTGAAGCCCCATGGTCCCAGTGCTCCTCTGGAATTGGGGACAGAGCCATAGCTACTGAACCTTGGAGACAGAGTCCAGGGAAGGTCTTGGTGTCACTGGGAGGACAGTAAATAACGGTGAGCAGGAAAACTACACCATCCGCAGTACTGCGCCACCCACCCTATTTCAGGAGCTGTTGGGTTTGCTTTCTTTAGTTTACATACTGACTAACTGGGGAGGCTGTGTGTCCATTCACCACTGGCTGCCACTGTTTGTCATGGCACATCCAGGCCTCGAAGGGCTGAAAGCAGCTGTGTCAGCAGCAGCAGCAGCAGCTCAGGTTCCATCAGGATTTGCTTAATAGCCAACCAGAATTCAGAACTCCATAAATGCCACCACAAGCTATTTCCTATGAAACGTTATGCAAATGTTCCTTCCTGAAAGGTGTAGCATGAATTCTATTATTGGTATTAATAATAAAATCCAGAGACAGATATTGGGATTAAAGCTGAAGATCGCATAAGCAAAGCAGCCAGCCCCTAGAGAGGTCTCACCTCTGCCAATGCTCAGATCGAAAGGGCGATCCTGTCCTGAGACTGCACCTCCAGATTGCATCCATCTCCATCAAAACTCAGACTACACTGAGCTCCTGTCTCCTCCCACCTTATATTCCTCCCTCTGCCCAGCCATATCCCTTCCTGTCTCTACCTCTATAGTGCTGGGATTAAAGGCGTGGGATCCCAAGTGCTGGGATCACCTTTGTGTGAGCTGTTTCTCTTTAGATCAGTTTCGTGTAGCCCAGGGTGGCCTTGAACACCCAGAGATCAGTCTGCCTCTGTCTCCCTAGTGCTGGGATTAAAGGTTTGCACCACCACTGCCTGGCCTCTATTGCTAGCTAGTGTGACTAGCTTGCACTATGATCTTCAGGCAAGCTTTATTTGTTAGCTCATAAACAAAGTATCACCACACAAGACTGCAGTAAACATCTCCTTCCCAGCTCCCCTTGTTGGAATTTTGTCCCGAACAGTGTCCCTGTCGGAAAACTGTGCCGTGCTGATGCTGGACCAGGCTATTTGTAACTGCAGGGAATGACCATGTGCTTGCTGCATGAAGCTCCTGCGGTGGGCACCAATGGGGACCGCGTGCTTTAAACAAAGCATGGGCCTGCGGCTTAGAGGGCCTCATCTCACTGCCCCTGTCCCTGTTTGGTCCCTTCTGTGTCCACATGCCAGAAGTGAGCTCTGCCCCTACTCAGGACCCCTCAGAGTCAGTCTGAGCTCATGTGTATCAGCTCCTGGCTGTCCGTCTGCATTGCTGCATACTCCCGTGACCACGCCGCCTGCCCACACCTCTTCCTTGTCTCTGAATCCTTCTCCTGAGGAAGGAGCCCCTTCCTCCTGTTGCTGCATTTTCTCCCTCTCATTCAAACGCCTCTGCTGCCCGGTCAGCAGAGCTGGGCTCCAAGGACACAGTTCAGCCACCACAGAGTTCTGAGTTTCTCAGAGAATGAACCTCTCTTCTTGTATCCAACCATCCACCCGCTATGACATTTCTCCCTTAGCAGTGCCATTAAAATATCCAGCCGGCCTGTCCCTCAAACGAGGACTATCTGAAACACCGCTCTGTCTATCCATCAGTAATGCTGAGTTTCAAACCCACAGCTGCAGGAACAAGACTTAGCATCCTCCAGGAACTAAGATCTGACCAGCGCTCTTGGTTTTGTGTTCTCAGGGGACTGCTGGCTGCTGGCTGCCATCGCCTCCCTCACCCTGAATGAAGAAGTCCTGGCTCGGGTTGTGCCCCTAGATCAGAGCTTCCAGGAGAACTACGCTGGCATCTTCCACTTCCAGGTAAATTAAGAGTTGGCTTAGGCACCCCCTCACCAGGCTCAGGGGCTCAGGAGTCCCCCAGTGTGGCTGGCTCTTCAGCTCCTCAGTCGTTGATGTTTTGCAAGCTCCTGAGATCAGTGTTGTTCTGCGGAGGATGCTAGGAGAGATATAAGATGTTCCTGACCTGCCCGTGATGTGAGATCCCACCAGAATGGCTGACAGGGTGGGGGGTGGGGTGATTCATGGAGGTGGATCTTGGTGTCCAGGAAGTAATGTATTCAGGAAGTAATCCACAAGTTTCAAAAAAAGTATTGTTTGTAGTTTGAGATAAATGTTAAAACGCTTCCTCCTTTTGTGATGGCAAATGAGAACTGAGTACGTGTGGTTTTGGCCACACAGACAAGCTCCATTGTCCTCTCTTGCTTGGTGAGGGGTATGCCTACCATTGGAGACTGAAGGGCATCATGGGAACCTACAAGGGGCTGGGTGGGAGAGACCCCGATGAGGCTAAGGCTCGGAGTCCCAGCGCCACCCTCTCTTGTCCTCCTTGCCCCGCAGTTCTGGCAATATGGCGAATGGGTGGAGGTGGTGGTGGATGACAGGCTGCCCACTAAGGATGGGGAGTTGCTCTTTGTACACTCGGCTGAAGGGAGCGAGTTCTGGAGCGCCCTGCTGGAGAAGGCCTATGCCAAGTAAGTGACCACGCCCTTCCCAACACCCCACCCTGCCCCTACTGCCCTGGACTCCAAAACAGCAGGAGCTATTCAGGGATACTGTTTTGAGTAGAAGTTCTGTTCTATAAAAGGATGACTTTGGCCCAAATTGGGCTCTTAATTCAAGGAGGTAATGTGGGCATGGAGCCTGGTCACATGGTGTACTGATAAATGACAGTCATCGCTGTTTTTAACCAAGTGAACCAGAACATTCTGGGGCTGACTGCTCTGGCCTTGAGAAGAAACTGTTTCTTTGGTGGGCCCCACTCTGTCTATTCAACTGAAAAGAGCAAAAGGTTTGCCAGGAGGCAAAACTACCCATTGCAGAGGTAGGAAAATTGTGGAAACCCACTCAAAACAAACCACCTGGCTGGTAAGAATGGTTTCCCAGTTCCAGTCCTAGCTACATCTCACCCAGCTTGCCCAAAGTTGTGCTGGGCCCACTCAGGGTGTCAGCCCTCTGCCCAGGGGCCTCGGTTGCTGATGCTAGTGGCTCCTGCATCAAGGTGAGACAATTTTAGCAGCTGGTGGGTTTAGAATCCCCATAGCCCTGGGCTTCATGTCCTCGGCTCAAGGACTGATGGAGAAGCCCGGCGACTGACCACAGGAACCCACCCTGTGCTTCTCTGGGAAGTTGGGTCTTTTTAAGCATGTAACTCTCAAACAGCCAATTAGCCAACCTCCCCTTTGTGTGGTGGGAGAGTCAATGCCAGAGGCTGGGTCAGATTGTCACTAAGTTCTTCTAACTCCAGGGTGCTGGACAATTTTGAAAACATGTCATAGCCATGGAGGAAACGGAATTAGGGGGACAGCGCCTTGCCTTCCTGGGCGCCCCAAGTTGGAGACAAAGACAAGGAGAATGAAAGCGGAGGATCTCTGGGGTCCCGTGAGGGAGGGGATCTGAGTTGGAATGGGATGGCATTTTGGGGGGATGAGGGCACACGGATCAGCAGCATCTAGGGCAGTGAGTGTCAGCCTGCATTCCCCTCCTTCAGGATCAACGGGTGCTATGAAGCACTCTCAGGCGGAGCCACCACAGAGGGCTTTGAAGACTTCACAGGAGGCATTGCTGAGTGGTATGAGTTGAGGAAGCCTCCTCCCAACTTGTTCAAGATCATTCAGAAGGCTCTGGAGAAAGGCTCTCTTCTCGGCTGCTCCATCGACGTAAGTCCTCAACACCCTGGAAACGCCCAGTCTACTGTGGCTTAGGGAAAGCCCTGACAGCATCCAGGAGCTATTAAGAACTTTAGCGCATCCCTTGTTCTCCTTGCTGCTCATCTCTAGAAGCCAGGAGTTGCTAGGCAATAGCAAGGCTGTCTGAGTGCATTTGGTATAGAGATGGTGCCTCCAGCCCTTCTGTCCCCAGCCCATTTTCCATTCTAGCTCCGCTCTGAATCACCCGACTCACAGAACCCAGGAAAGTCCCCCAACCCCTTCTGCAGGTCTCGAGACCTTCTCCCCCACTTTCAGGGCTGTGTGAGCTGCCCGGCAGCTTCTCACTCTGCCCCAGTGCCCATGGGACCTGGAGAAGACTTTAGAGAGTACCAGAAGGAATTGTTTCCCCAAAATAGCTCTGCAGGGGAGATGCAACAACAGGGAGATGTCGGAAAGTGGGCATGGTCCAGGCCCCAGGAGTTTCCCAAGGCTGTGCCCAAATGGTGGGAAAGAAGTGGTTTTTGAGGAATTAGCGATCCAATACTCGGCTTCTGAACTGAGGCTGGAGATAAAATTGCCATCGTGTGCAAATGAGCTGGGCGGGGTGGCGTGGGAGACCAGAGCATCTTGGCCACAGATGCCCACTGGGTGTCTGTCATTAGGGCCCCCACGGGCTCTTGCCTCGAAAGGGAGTCCCTTCACGCCCTCTCCATCCAGAAGATGGCTGGGGGAGCGGGAATGGGTGCGCCAACTTGCTCCTTGGCGATCAGCAACTGAAAGTGGCACGGGGCTCCCCCAGGTGGCAGGATGGATGTGCAGAGTTCCCCAGGCTGGGCCCCGCCCCCGTGCCTTGTGCGTTCCCTTGGGCGGTTTGTATTAGAGTTGGAGCAGCTGCTTTCTGTGTTTGCAGATCACCAGTGCTGCGGATTCGGAGGCAGTCACGTACCAGAAGCTGGTGAAAGGACATGCGTACTCCGTCACCGGAGCCGAGGAGGTACTGGACCTCGGGAGTCCTTTCCCCACCCCCACCCCGGCACCCCGGCACGTGGCTGTCCTGGGTGGGGCCTCCAGGCTCGCATCAGCCCAGCGCGCGCTGCCCCCTGCTGGCTACAGAGGCTGCTGCAGATTTAATGTCTGAGTCCGTTTTTAAAACAAAACCCAAACACAGCACTTCGCATCTGTCTGGTATTTTATACTCTTTAAAACAATGCTAGTGGGCATGGTGCCTCATATCTGCAATCCTAGCCTTTGTCTTCCGTGTGCTAGGGCTGTTGGGTTTTTTTTTTTTTTGGATTTTTTTAAGATTACTTTTTTTATGTGTATTTCAACATTGCTAAGTTTTGCCACTTATTCTGTCTCCATATGCATGGCTGGTTTTTTTCTTCCTAGCTATTTACAAGTGAGCTGCAGGTATGGTGGCATGGGCCTGTAGTCCCAGTTACTTCAGTGCGGAGAACGAGGGTCACTTGAAACCATGAGTTCAGGGCCAGCCTGGGTAACCCAATGGAACCTTGTCTTAAAACAAAAACAAAACAAAAAAACAAACAAACAAACAAAAACTCTGCATCTTCCTTTTCATCCAATGCCTTTAAGCAAATGAGAAAGCTTCTCTGAGAGCCCTAAAGGACATCCTATTCCAGCTAGTTAAATGAGGGTTAGCCATAACACCCAAACACAGACACCAGGGCAGCCCAGGCTGTTTACACCTCAGGCTGCTAACAAAGATTAAAGCCAGATCTTGGGAGCTTTCTTTGGTGTAGTTATTTATTTTTGCTTTGGAGAGGTGATGTTGTTTGTTTTGTTTTGTGTTCAGATGGAATCTGAGTACATAGATCTGGCTTCCCTGGAATTTAGGGGGAAGCCTCCTGGGTGCCTGGAGTTTAATTCTCATTTTCCAAACCTGGGCAACAGTGATAGTCTGAGGGTCAAGCCCCTCCCAGCTTCTGTGAGGCTCCTCTGCCCACTTGGTTCACTACGAAGGCGGGTGTAGGTCCGAGCCCCTCCAAGCCTGCATGTGTAGGTGGAGTTTTCTGAAGGACTGCTGATTAGCTCCCAAATAACCACACAGGGACTTAATTATAAATGCTCGGCTGATAGCTTAGGCTTGTTTTTAGCCTGCTCTTATAACTTAAATTAACTCATTTCTATTAATCTCTGTGCTGCCCCAGGCTCATTTACCTCATGTATGTACTTCCCACCCTGCTCACTCTGCATCTCAGAGCATCTCCTCTGACTCTGCCCTTCTTCTCAACAACATTCTCTCTGCCCCCCAAATCCTGCCTAGCTGTCAGCCAATCAGCTTTTTATTAAAAATACAAGCAACATGCCTGCAGAGTGTACAGAAGGGCTATTCCACAGCATGCATGGTCCTCAGCCTCTGCCTCGTTGGCTCTTTCAGGTTGAAAGCTCAGGAAGCCTGCAGAAGTTGATCAGAATCCGGAATCCCTGGGGACAAGTAGAGTGGACCGGGAAATGGAATGACAAGTGAGAAGGGAGCAGGGTGGGGTGGGGGAGGGGGAGGGGGGAGCCAGGGTTCAGGAAGGGGGGTCAGGGTATGGGATGTGCCAGAATGTGGGGGACAGAGTGTGGGGGCAGGGTGTGGTGAACCAGGGTGTGGGTGGGCCAGTGTATGGGGTGGGCCAGGGTGTGGGTAGGTCAGGGTGCATGCATTCTATTAGGACCTGTTGCAGCCCAGAGAGGAGGCACTGTGTGAGGTGCCAAGAATTGAGGTTCTGTGGTCACTCACTGATCACATCAAGTGGGTCCCATGGATGTACTAGGTTCTGTGCTCCTTGGTTATGCTTTGTGTTTCTCAGTGGGGTCTGGGTCCAGGTGGAGTATGATAGCCTCCTACAGGAGGTCTAGGCCCTCAGCAGGGAGAGTGGGTGTGCTCGCTCCTTAGCATTTGGGGACTGTGGAGAGAAATGGCCATTGTCACACACTCATTCCTAAGGCGTCTCCTATCACTTTGCTTTCCAGCTGCCCCAGCTGGAACACGGTTGACCCAGAAGTGAGGGCAAGGCTGACTGAACGACAGGAGGATGGAGAGTTCTGGTAAGACAGTGGGGGCTCCGGGGGAAGAGCCCCGCCCCCAGTGTACTCCTCATAGGAAAGTTGCTAACCAGAGCATCCGCCAGAAATGTATTCAACATGCCGAGGGCATTGGTGTGGCATCCTAGCTTTGCCATTCCTAAGTGCGAGGCAAGGCATTATACTTCTGTAATCCCAGCACTCTAGAAACTGAGGCAGAGGGCTCTCAAATCAGAGACCAAGCTGCTTACCCCAGGCTATCTAGCAAGAACTTGTTTCCAATAACAGAGAAAAAATTCTCCATACATTCCTAAACAACTTTTAAATCTCTTCAATTTGTCCATCTCAGTAGTGAGGTTAATACTCTGAGCAATGTCACAAGGACTGAGAGAAATTCCTTCAGTAATGGTCAGACCCCAAGAGAAAACAAAGATGGGACCTTTCTTCCCACTAGTCTCTAAAGAGATACCCAGGCTCATTAAGAAGCCAACCCCAAGGCGAAGGGATGGCTTAGTGGTTAAGAGCTCTCTCTGCCAATGCAGACCCGAGTTCAGTTCCCAGCCCCACAGGGTAGCTCACAATTGCTGGTAACTCTAGTTCCGGGGGACCTCACCTTCCCAGGCTCCTGAATGTATGTGGTGCACACAAACCAGTGTAAGAAGTCTTAAAACTAATAGAAGTCTTTTAAAGAAAGAAAGAAAGAAAGAAAGAAAGAAAGAAAGAAAGAAACCAGTTCCTTAGTGAACAGAGGAGGACCGCGTGTGTGCATTGCGCCCACGGAACACCTGCCATGGTTACTGTTTACCCTGACAGCCCATGTGTAGTCTCAGCTGGTATTTATTCATGGCTTTCATTCCCCATCTGAGAGCTCTGGGATGCAAAGAGAGCTCATCCATTTGCTCAAAGTCACCCACTTGGAAAGTGGCAGTTACAGGGCTAGATTTCTGAGTCTGTGGCTCTAGTGCCTACCACTGGGGCTCACCCAGCTCCGAGTCTGACCAGGTAGAAGGCCAAGGCTGGCTCCGTGTCTCCTGTAACTCGGGGCAGACACACTGTCTCTGCTTTGCCAGGATGTCCTTCGGTGACTTCCTGAGGCACTACTCTCGCCTGGAGATCTGCAACCTGACCCCTGACACCCTCACCTGTGACTCCTACAAGAAGTGGAAACTCACCAAGATGGACGGGAACTGGAGGAGAGGCTCCACTGCAGGAGGCTGCAGGAACTACCCAAGTAAGGGGCGTGGCCACTGCAGGAACTACCCAAGTAAGGGGCGTGGCCACTGTAGGAACTACCCAAGTAAGGGGCGTGGCCACTGTAGGAACTACCCAAGTAAGGGGCGTGGCCACTGAGGCTGCAGCCATGGCATCCCACCCTGACGGTCAGCCTCCTCCTCTCCCTTCTCCACTAGCTGTGGTCTCGAAGCTCTGTTTTCCCAGCCACATTACTTCCTGAATTCATTTGCTGTGAAAAACCCTTTGGGCCCCAGATCTTCTGGTGCCCGTGACCCTCTTCTGGTTTATAGAGGCCGTGCTAAGTCCCAGCTCATAACCAGCTAGCCTAGGCCGTCACACACTGCATCCATGGAGCACACCAGCCTCTCATTGCGGTCTTCCACCCTCGTGTGCCAAGTTCATTTAGGAAATGTAGACAGCCAGGCAGCAGTGGCACACATCTTTAATCCCAGCACTGGAGAGGCAGAGGCAGGGAGATCTCTGAGTTAAAGGCCAGCCTTGTCTACAGAGCAAGTTCCAGGATGGCTAGGACTACACAGAGGAACTCTGACTCAAAAAGGAAAAAGAAAAAAGTGACAAGAGAGACAAAAAGAAGGAAGGAAGGAAGGAAGGAAGGAAGGAAGGAAGGAAATGGGAAATGTGACTGAGCCCAGCTCACATGGGGAGAGAATTTCTCCTCTTCTCCACTCTTTGCTGATGTCCTCTGCTGTCTGGATGGTTGAGCCTTCCTCCCATAGGAACTGTGTGGTCTTGATGACATCTGCCAGTCATAGGGTGGAGCATACATGGAGTCCTGGGAACTCTACCAAAGAGCTTCATCTGTGTATTGATCCTCTAGACAAACTTACTTATTTGTGGCTGGTCTGGGATCTGAACCCAGGCAGTATGGTTATGGAGTCATTCTCAGTCTGGTGGCAGGCCATGGTCAAACTTTGATGCTCTGTTGCAGATGAGGAAACTGAGACTCTGTGTGGTGTGCCAAACCCACAGAGCAAGTAGTCTGTGACTAGCTGGCCAGTCCCTCCAGTCCCAGCATGCATTGTCCAAGTGACAGCTCTGGAGGACACCACTGGGAAGCCCCTCTGCCACCCACAAAAATACTCCATACCTATTAGATGTTGGGAGGGAGGGTCAGAAGACTCAACAACCCTAGAGTGAATGCTCCTGGCCTTATGGGATGCTCTCCCTCAACAGTACTTACTTGGTCCTGCTGAGGTAATCTAGAAACTTCCTACATAAATGAGTGTGTGTCGACACCACTGGACTTACAGAAGCAGTGGCACTATGGCTGCCAACTCTGCGAGACCACGCTTCTAACTGCATGGGGGACAGGAGGCACTTAGCATAATTACCTCAAACAGGAGTGACTCAGTGTCTTCCTGAAAACGGGTCTTGGAAGTGGGGATGTTGGGGGTTGAGCAAGAGATAGAGATGATAGAGTGAGGCACAGGATCTCCCCGGCCTCTACATTCACCACAGGGTGGGGGCAAACGACAGGCACCGTGCAGGCATCCTTAGGGAGCACCAAAAGAAGCCAACCAAAGGGCAAAAGAACTTGGAGGGGGAACTCCTGGTTTAGGTCCTTCTGAGATTCAGGGTGTGCCAGGAGCCCAGCAGCCTTCCATTTGCTCTGATTACAGGGCATGAACCTTTAGGAAGACTTCGCAGTGAGGGTAAGAGGATGTAATTCAGAGGGTAGAGTGGTTACCCAGCATGCACGAAGCCCTGGGGCCAATCATAGTGCTAGCAATCCCTGCACTGAGGAGGTGGAGTCGAGTCAGGAGCATCCCAAGTTCAAGGTCATCCTCAGAGAAAGCAAGTTCGAGGCCAGCCTGAGCTATGTGAACCCTTGTGCCAAAAGGAGAGAACCAGAGGAAGCCATTTTCTCACGGAAGGCGCAGATCCACCTCGAGAGCCCACCTCTGTCAGGAGCCACTCCAGCAGGGGCTGCAGTTGGCCTCCGCTCTGCTTCCCTGTCTCCCAGGGTCCTTGTCCCAGGCTCCAGGCCAGGGCCCACCCCAGGTCCCAGCTCCCAGGCATTTATTCACGGCTGTGCTCCTCACGGCTGTGCTTCTCTGCCCCTATCCTATAGATACCTTCTGGATGAACCCTCAGTACCTAATCAAGCTGGAGGAAGAGGATGAAGATGATGAGGGTGGGGAGAGGGGCTGTACCTTCCTGGTGGGCCTCATCCAGAAGCATCGGCGGCGACAGAGGAAGATGGGCGAGGATATGCACACCATTGGCTTTGGCATCTACGAGGTGCGGGCGGAGAACGGGGCTGCGCTCTGCCGTCCCTTCCCTTCCCCCAGCCCCAGCCACAGAGGCATGACTTGGAATAAGACAGAGGACAGGAAACTTGGCCAAGCCAAAGTAAAGATGCTAGTGCAGCCAGACTTAGCTGGCACAAGGCCTACACAGCTGTTTGTGTTTCCAAGGACCTCCTGGTCCTTCCCTGAGCCCCATAGCTACCCTCCCAGGAGTTCTGTGCTTGGAAAAGGCCTCTGTGTCCCTATTCACAGCCCATCCCTTAGTCCTGGAATTCTGGCTAGCCCAGCAGACTCCAAAGAATAGGAAAGACTTCATCTAGAACAGGATATTCTAGAGCACACCAAGTATTGTGAGGGTTAGGCTGAGCCAATAGTCCCTAATAGTCAGAGCTCCGCCAAGTCTTTGGCCTGGATGGGAGAGAGCCCAGGACAGGGTAAAGAGGGGTCATTATGCTCCCCCGAGGTCTGCTGGCTGCAGCTCTGCTCTTGCAACCTTACCATCCACGGGACCTTCTCTCATTCCAAGCCAGAGAAAAGCCATGCCTGTTCAACTGCGCCAGAGAGCAGCCTTGTCATGCTCATCTCTCTTCTTCAAGCTGAGATTAGCTTGACTCCATGTCCGGGCTATGCTGCACAGAACATGGCCTTGGTTGGCAGGAGATGAGCACAGCATGGAAGACCTCAGGGGGGCTGCATAGGTGCCTGAGTACAAGTAGCAATTTGCTGGACTCCTGGTTCTGAAAGCCCACCCCCATCACTCCCTCAGCCCCATGTTTAGCAAGGTCAAATGGGTAGCATGAACATGGCTTTGGGAAATGGCAAACTACCAAGCTGGGCTTTTGCCCACCAACTATCTCCAAGCACACTTGGAACTCAGATTAGGTATCAGGGAGAAGAAGGTTCAACTGCTGTGCTCATCACGAGGCTGCTTCTGATTGGCTGCTGATCTGAGCCCCACCCACCAGCCTGAGAATGGAGTGGGGGGAAAAACCATCAGTTGTGCAGTATACATAGTCCCTGGACTCCCAGTCTCTGAAATGAAAACTGAGGATGCCAGACTTGAACAGAATAACTCAGAAATGCAAAGTGAGTTGTGCCCGCTCACACATGCACCCAGGATGCAGACTAGATGTGGCTGGCCTGGCCTGTTGGTTCTTCCTCCAACTTCACCCAGCCTCACTTTCCCTGAGTGAGAGGTGGGTGTGGGCTTCAACACAGCTGGCTGGTGACCTAAAGCAAGTCACCACATGTCTCCAGCCACCGCATTGCTAGGTCCTAAGAGGGTTTTTTCCTCTGATGTGTCCAAAGTACTTTGAGTTGCTTGAAGAATAACTTCTGTGTTGACCTGGTGCATAGCACTGGAGCTGCAGAGAAAAGCCGCAGCAAAGTCACAGAGCTGGTGTGCTCACACTCCCCACGTCTGAATCGGGTCTCCTTTGTTTTTCAGGTTCCAGAGGAGGTACGTCTGCTACATGTTGGCCCCCAACCCCAGGGCTCCAGCTGCCAACACAACTTGGGCTTAGTCTGCCTGAACTCAGGGAGCAGCAGGAGCCTGGGAGGGGCTGGTGGCTCAGGGATGAGCCCTTGTCCCCTATGAGCCCCATGGGGATGGTTCCAGTTCTGGATCCCATTGGACTAAGCTCAGGAGAAAGTCTCGATAGCGCTCATAGGTGCTTCCTGCCTGGCCTTAGAGAACCCGTGTAGTTTGGCCATGGTGGCAGCCCGCTGCCCTTAGACTGCAGGAATTCGTCATCAAGGCCCGTGTGGCTCTGAGAACAAGCAGGGAGGGGAGAATGAACTGCACACTGTTTTGGACCCAACTCACAGGCTAAGTGACCCTGGACACATGACATATTCTCTCTGAGATTTAGTTTCCTTTTCCAATATAGGCATGAACTGAGTTACAGAAGGTTACAGTTAACAGTAATGAGATGCATAACAGCCAGGTGACTCAAAAAGCCAGGTATTAAATGGCCACACCAGGTGCCCTGACCTACCCATGGGCATCGGCTTCCACCAATAGACGGTTGAGCTTCATTGAACACTACCTTCTGAGTTGTGGGTCTAACCTTGGGTGGCATCTGGTTTAACAGCTGGACCCCTTTCTCTGCCCCCAACCTTGTCTTTCATCAGTGTGAGAAACACAACACAGAACTGACCTGGCTCCTTTGTCGGGGAGGGGCCTCTGGTACCCCAAGAATCACCTAGAGCAAGGCAGAGGGGAGAGGGGAGCTCCCATCACACCTGGTCATACCTGAGCTCCTTACCATCATGTGTTGCCGGGGTGGAGATCTTATGGTCATGTGTTGTCTCATTTAAAACAATCCATTGTCCCCATTGTCCCCTTGCCTTGTTTCTCTGTGCAATCATCAGCTAACAGGACAGACGAATATCCACTTGGGCAAGAACTTTTTCCTCACCACCCGGGCCAGGGAGCGGTCAGATACCTTCATCAACCTCCGGGAGGTACTCAACCGCTTCAAGCTGCCCCCGGGGGAGTACATCGTCGTCCCCTCCACCTTCGAGCCCCACAAGGATGGCGATTTCTGCATCCGCGTCTTCTCAGAGAAGAAGGCCGACTACCAGTAGGTTCTACCACCTCTCCTTGCTCCTGGTCCTGGTCTGCCCTTCTCTCCTTTTTCTGTGACACTGACCTACTTAGGTCAGTAGGATAAATGAACTGGAGCGCTCTAAGGGTTCTACTCGAGGAAGCAAAGGGAAAAAAAAAAACATGCAGGATGTGTTAAGTTGGAACAGGGCATCTGGGGAAGTGAGTAGTTTGCAGTACAGTTTCAGGGTTCACCCCTAATTACAATAGTTAATATTTTAATGGCCTGTGCATACTCTCTATGAGCCCACACTCTAAATAACCCTTGCTTTCCCGGGCCATGTATAAGTGACAATGTTGATGGTCGGCGTGTCCAGACCGTTCCCTGTGCTAGTCGGGAAGCCTCTGGTGGAGGCTTTTAGGCAGATATCACAAGTTCCCAACATTGTCCGTGTGGCCTCTACTCACATCAGTCACTGTGTGAGTCACTTAGCCAGCAGACAGAACCAACCCTGGACAGTATAACTGAAAGGAAGATCACTGAAGGGCTATGGGGACCCCAGCACTGATGTGGGGACCAGGGACAAGATGGGAAGGATGGGAACAAGGATGCTCTAGAGAATCATGGTTGGGAAAACCTGTGCCAAAGACCCAAAAGCCCCATAGATTGTGTCTGATTGGGTGGGTACGGGTGGGTCCCCAGCCGTCACCTCCTGTGACAGGAAGTGGCAGTGGCATTTGCTTCAAACAACACATGACAGAGAAAGAGTTTCAGTGCCCAACAGCTATGAAGCAGTAAATGTCACTAGAGTGTGGCTGTGGCTCCCTGCCATGACAGGCTTTCTTGTTTTGTTGAAGTTTGCTGCAGGGAAGGGGCTGTTGGGTCATCTCATGGCAGGTGGGAGGGGACCTCGGTGTGTCCCGCTTATTCTCCACTGATGAGATGGGGACAAGCCCGAATACCATTGTGATGCAACTGCTCTTGGTCAAACCCTATCCTGCCCTGCTAACCACAAGCCTCTCCCGGGGAAATGTCAGCCCCTCTGCTTGCCCCAGGGTGAGCTTTCTGCCCTTAAAAGCGGTTGCCCTTTTAGATAGAATAGGCAACCTTCTATCTCCTTTCCCACAGCATGCTGGGTTTAAACACTGCTGTTGCGTTTTGTAGGGTGACTTCAGCCTTCTAATAGCAAATTTTCCTTCTGTTTCCAGAGTTGTGGATGATGAAATCGAGGCCAACGTTGAAGAGGTATTCCTTCCTTACCTCTCTAATTCTCCTCATGCTGATGGGCATAAAATACAGCAGAACAAAAGCGTGGCAAGGGCCTGGGTGCCTCTTAGACCTCGGGAACAGGATTTGAAAGCGAGGCTATAGATAGTCAGTCTCTTGTCCATTAAAGCCCAGTTTATCCACATGCAGAGGGCGTGAGGTCGGCGGGCAAGGACAGGACTCCAATGCTGCATTGAGCAGACTTGTTCAACCTCACTTTTATCATCCATAAAATGGACTCAAAGGATAGCAAGATTTCTCAAGTTTCTAAGGGTTCTAAGACTGGTTCAGTGGTAAATCCTGAAGGGCTTTTAGGCATGTAACTGAGGAATTTCACCCAAGGCCTAATCTTAGCAAATCCAAGAAGTACCACCAAATAGAAGAAGGAAGGGCTTTTGCTCTCTGTCTCTCTGTCTCTCTCTGTCTCTCTCTGTGTCTCTCTCTGTCTCTCTGTCTCTGTCTCTGTCTCTGTCTCTCTCTGTGTCTCTGTGTCTCTGTCTCTCTCTGTCTCTCTCTCTCTCTCTCTCTCTGTCTCTCTCTCTCTCTCTCCCTCTCTCTCTCTCTCAGGCCCTGAGGTGGCTCTTTGATTGGATCATAGCTGCTGAAGCCTGGTGCATGTCCTAAGTACCCAGTCGAACACCAAACGGTTTGTCATTGACCAAACTGTTCCACAGCATTCCACTCGGTTCCTGTCAGAGTTGACCATACAAGGTCGTTTTAGTTAAATATTAAAGATACTTGGAATTGCAAGAAGTTAAAGCATAACCTCCCCTGCCATGTGGTTTCCACTCCCTCTCATGGGCTTTAGCTAAAAGAAACCAAACAAAACAAAACCTTAGCTAGGCACGGTGGTGCACACCTGTAATCTCAGCCCTGAAGAGACTGAAGGATGAGGAGTTCAAAGCATCCTTGCCTATGCAGTGACCTCAAGGCTACCCCAGACTATTTGAGACCCTGACTCAAATAAGGAAAAAATCCTCAAAGGACAAGTGTGGTGACACATACCTATCACCCCAGCACTTGCCGGGTGAGACAAGGATGAGGAGTTCAAGACCATCCTCAACTACATAAGGAGTATGGGGCCAGGCTGCATTATATGAGATCTTGTCTCAAAACCAAACAAAATATTTAACTCTTCACCCTGCCATTCACTGTAAGCCCAATGTCCTTAGAATTCCAGCCTAAGGAGCAGGAAGACTCTGGAAATTGGAGAGTGGGGGGGGGGCTGCCATTAAAGGGAAAGGGCACCTTCAATCAGATCAAATTTCTCTTTAATGAGTTTCCTATTTCTGTGCCTCACCTTCTAGATTGAAGCTAATGAGGAGGACATTGACGATGGTTTCAGAAGGCTGTTTGTTCAGCTGGCAGGAGAGGTAGGTGTCACCAAAATTCTGCTGACATAAAGAAGTGATTTTCCTGGAGGAGACTTCATTTAAGGGGGAAAGAAAGCAAACTAAGCAAAAGCAGATTTTTGGTCATTCCTGAGACCCTTAGCCCAACACCAAGGGATGTGACCCTTGCTCACATCCTCTCAAGCCCTCTGCTGACTCCCAGGGCCTCACCTGGCCCTGGCTCTGCTTTTCCTTGAGACTCTTGGCTCACTTTGAGGCTGTTTTGTTCCCTCTGTTCTGTGCCAACTGAGACATGAAACACAACTCCTGGTCTTGACCCCATAAACACACCTGAGATGGACGGGTCCCATTCCTCCAGAATGGAAGCAGTGCCTACCAAAGCACCACTGTCCTTTTCTTAAAATAGTCCCCCAGCCTACAGTCCCTCTACAAAGCCAGTCCGCCCTTTCTTCCCTGCAACCCCAGAAGCAAAGTGTCCTTCTCCTTGTGTGGCTCTCTCCAGTGTTACCATGAGGCCCATCTCCTGTCTAGCCACAGACTCATCAAAGGGTGATGCAAGCTGTGTCACCCCCCACCCCACCCCCATTTCTCAAGGGAAGGGTCCTCAGAGAAACTTAGTCTCCACTAACTGAACCACACCTGCCCCTCTATACACACCCTGGACAAGGTTACACCAATCACACAAATACACCTAAGTGAACAGAGGTAGCTGGCTCACTTCTGAGGAGCCCTGGCAAATGACCTCAGAGAAGGGCTGAGCCATGGCTGGTCTTAAGCAGTTTCAGGAAGTTGTAGAGGGTAGATAAGACCCTGCAGGAGGGGTGGCGTGGGAGAATTAGGCTGAGGAAGACCGTGAACGTGTTCCCTGCCATATAGAAAGGGTGACTAACTCCACCCAGCATGTGCCCTACATTGTAACAGTATGTTAAATACAGCCTAGGGCACTACTTAGGGTAGGCTGGGGACAGACAAAACATCAGTTGGGGCATTCGCAAGGTCAACAAGACTCATCCAAGATGTTCACTGCGGGTCACCCAGCTCCCATGGGAGCCATAACGATGGTCGGCTCCTATGTCCACAGGATGCGGAGATCTCTGCCTTTGAGCTGCAGACCATCTTGAGAAGAGTTCTAGCCAGGCGTAAGTGTCCCCTGCGCACATCCCTCATCCTACTCCTATCCCCGCAGACATGAGGGACTCCTTGCTTCAAGCACACGTCAGCTGCTACGGCTAAGCCAGCCCTCTCTGCTCCTACATGAGCTGTTGCCTTTGCACTCCCAGCACCGGGAAGAGTGGGACAGAGGAGGTGTGTGACGTAATGGTACAGAGCAAGGGTTTCTGGGTCTAGAGATGACAGGTCAAATCCAAATTCTTCTACTTACAAGCTCTCTGAGTAAATGACATCACACAGATCACCTGTCTGACTTTTTAACCCTTATCTGCAAAACAGACACCCTACGTATGACTCCCTCTTCCCAGTGGCTGGACATTACGTAAAATCTACCTGGTCCAGAGCCTGCATGCTGTAAATGGAAATTCTTGTAATGACTAGTTGGTGAGAAAAGGCTAAGTCAGTGCAGATGATGGGCACAGAGGTCCCAGAAGCTTGTAGGCCAATCTAGCATACATGGGGCTTAACAACAGAGACCCTGTCTCAAACAAGGTAAGGGCTGACACCCAAGGCTGTCCTATGACTCCACACATGTGCCGTGGTACCACTCATCTATACTAATACACATGCATACACACCTGTCATACACACATACACCCCCCCCCCTGACATTGAGTGTTTGGGGGGGGGGGGGGGGTGTGACTAGAGTCTCAGACCACCAATGGCCCAGGACTCACCTAGTAAAGTGCAGTAGGTTCTAGGTCCTCAGATTTCTCGGTCTGCTGGGACACAGACACAACTGTCTGCAGATGGACAGATGGAAACAGCCACCTTCCTCTCTCTGCTCAGAGCCTACAATGAACACATGTGCTCTCTGGCTGCACTCGACCACAGACAGTTTTCCACCTGTCAGCATTTAAAGGTTCAGCCATGATCAGGTTGGGTAGCACACACCTCCACTATTTATGAGGCAGAAGTATGAATTTGAAGTCTGCCTGAGCTTGAAAGCAAGGCTCCGTCCAAAAACAAAACAAAAACAAAACAAAACAAAACAAAACAAAAAAACCCAGCCGAGTAATTTTTTAAATTCCTTTACTTGTTTATTTTAATATTAAAGCCCTGTTTGTCCATGGTAGTTATACAGAGAAAGCCAGCAATGTAGGATTCCCTGTGCTGCCCCATTTTGACAGCCAACTACCACACCTGGCCAAAGCTATCCACAGGGCTTTGGTAGTGGCCGGCACAGAGGAAGGACGTGTCTACCTTTGTAGAAAGTTCTGTCAGATAGTACTGGTCCAGAAGCTTTACTAACAGGTCTCTTTTGTCTTTTAGGCCAAGATATCAAGTCAGATGGCTTCAGCATTGAGACCTGTAAAATCATGGTGGACATGCTAGATGTATCCTTTAATGGCTCAGAACGGAGACTAGCCCACTCGACTCTGCCTTCATAGGCTCAGAGTATAACAGACAGCCTACTAGGTCCTCGGCTAGAATCCCTGGACATGCACCCACCATCCTGCCCAGAGCAGCCTGGGCAGCTTCTTGAACAGGGTTCTCCTGCTTTTCCAAAGTAGAGCTTCCCTAACCCATCGTGTGCCTGATATGACTGTGTCTGTGGCAAGGTTCCCTTCTAAAACCATGTATGGCTAGACACTTCTGTTCATTCTAGCACATGGTGGTGTTGAGGCAGAAGGATTTCCACTTTGAAGCCAGCCTGGGCTACATAGCAAGACTGTCTGAAAAAAAAAAGTTTTCCAGACCTGAAGCTGAAGGCCTGCCTACGTTGTCATTCTTTCTCCTTGGTCTAGCTCCCCCTGGGCCACCCACCTGTCCCTGAAGCAGACTAACCATGCTCCCTCTTGTTACTGGTTCCCTCAGTAACAGAACAGTTCAAGTTTCTGTGACACTATCTGCTGGCCACAAGGCATGTACCTACGACACAGCAGCTCCCTTCACAAGACACCTTAAAAATACCCAATAATTCTCACGGTCCCAGTCATCTGTCATCTCATAACAAACTGTTGGCAAGATCTGGGGTCTCCATCACTCCCTTCCCGCTGCCCTTTTGAGGAAACTCGTGAGTACAAAAGGCAGAAGGCAGAGCCTTCTACAAAATGTCTCTGTGCATGTGTTGGAAGTACTGGGAGAGCCAGCCCTCAGGCCAAGCAGATGCCACTGTACCCAGTGACCACATACTCCAGGAGCTTTCCTTGACTGAGGGCAGGAAGATGGGAGTGGCAAGCTGGGGCTGAAGGAGTTCTACATCCTCTGGACGAAGATTCAGAAATACCAAGTAGGGTCCTGGGGACCCTGGGGTGGGTAGATCAGTGTTGGGGGATATTCCAGACACAGACTTTAAAATGTCACTCCTCTGGAGGGTGGGGGAACATTTCCAAGGGAATTGGACTTTATCCAGAGTGGAACTCAGAAGGAGTAAAGACCTGGCTACAAAAAACACACAAAGCAAGGGCTTTGCCAGGAAGGCAGTCTTAGCCTTTCCTTTGCCTGACTAATGACCAGGAATGAGGCCACTGTCAACAGTTTCCTGGAAAGGCTGCCTGGCCTCTTGTAGTTTGGCTGTGTGGCCGTTCGTATGTAAAGCATAGCATCGGCCTGTGCTGACGGGCTAGGCGATTTGGTGGGCACATTACAAAGTCAGCACATAGAAAAAGGCAACAGCTCTAGTAACACAGTTCCCAACCTGCGGGTCACGACCCGGTTGGGGTTTGAGTGACCCTTTCACAAGGGTTGCATATCAGATATTTACCGTTTTGTAACAGTAGCAAAACTACAGTTCTAAAGTAGCAATGACAATAATTTTATGTTGGGCGTCACTGCAACATGAGGAACTGTGTTAAAGGGTCACAGCATCAGGAAGGTTGAGAACCACCTCACTACTAACGATTGAAAGGGAGAGGGGTCCTAGTAAGGCCAGCCTAGAGGCGGGGAGATGGAAGCTCCTCACAGCTTCACACACACCTCACAGGAACCTCCACAGCTGTGTTGCTTTGGGTCATGGTTCTAATACGAATTTTGTGTGTTCCAGAAAATTTACCGGGAAATCGATGTTGACAGGTCTGGAACCATGAACTCCTACGAGATGCGGAAAGCCTTGGAAGAAGCAGGTACCACTTCATGGCCGCACCTCCTTACCTGTTTTGTGTTGAGCCTCGTTCTATACCATACAACATAAAGCTTTGTTGGTGGGTCTGAAGATGTAGCTCAGAGGTAGGCTCGGGCCTATCATTCACAAGACCCTGGGTCCTGTCCCCAGCACAACCAAAGTTAGATGAACCAAAATTTGGTTGGTGGTATAAAGCAGGTCCTGGTCTAAAACATCACAAGCACATCTTCTCATTCCCCTCCAAGAGACAGTGCTCAAATTAAATGTCGTCCTGGAAGCTCTGCCCTTAGCGTGCTCCTGTTTTATCTGAAACAGCCTGGCAGAGCAAGACGGCAAAGTCAGCTCTGAGAGAGGTGGGGGGAGGGTGTGTCTAAGCTTGAGCATGTATGTGTGTGTGTGTGTGTGTGTGTGTGTGTGTGTGTGTGTGTGAACAAGATCTCCTACAGCTGCAAGGAAAGCTGCAAAGTGCAATCAACATGCCCAGACAGTGACAGGCCTGTTAAAGTTCCTTTTCTGTTTACAGGAAGAATTAGTATTAATTAGTCTGCCACAATCAGCCTGCCACCTAAAATCTAGGAAGAAACTAATCTCAGATTTGATTTAGAACTTACACGGTTGTTGTTTCGTGTTGATAATCATGGTTATCAATTAGGAGCAGCATGACCATTGCAAAAACAAAAACAAAGAAACAAACAAACAAAAAAACAGACAAAAGCTTTATTTGTTAGTGAGGAAATAGACAGGCTGTGGAACAGTTCAGAAATGAAAGAAGGGACTACATGGCAAAGTTCAACCAGCCACACTGCCCATGGACAAAAGCAATTATGGGTGTAATTTAAAGAGTCAAACAATTCAGGGGAGCTGGGAGATAGCTCAGTGGTTGACAGTTTTTGCTGCTCTCACAGAGAGCTGACCTTGGCAGCCCACAACCACCTGTAACTCCAGTTCTGGAGGAACCAACACCTTCTTCTGGCCTCTGCAGACACTGCATACAGGTGGTGCATATATAGAAAAGCAGGTACATGCACATAAAAAATAAATAAAAATCAATGGGGAGAGATAAAGAGTGTCACATTGGTTCCACAGCCTGTGAGCAGAGCCAGCTAGTGGGTGTGGTACACGGCAGAGCTAAGCAGTGGGGTCTGGTGCTCAGCAGATGCCTCTTTGTTCACTCGCCTCCAGGTTTCAAGCTGCCCTGTCAACTCCACCAAGTCATCGTTGCCCGGTTTTCAGATGACGAACTCATCATCGATTTTAACAACTTTGTCCGGTGTTTGGTTCGGCTGGAACTGCTATTCAGTACGTGGCTCTTTCTGCTCCATTCACTCAGAATTAAGGCCTCGTTCACCAGGGGCGAGGTCACTGGATGTGTCTGTCTATGAGTTGGGAGTGAATTTCCCTTTTGGTAAACTGGGGAAGCAGGAGGAGTAGTAGATGGTGTCATCCAACAAAAATCAGCTGCCAAATGGGGACAACGCTGCAATCTGCCTTTCCTCTCATTTTTCACGCCCCCTGTCCTCCCTCCACAGAGATATTCAAGCAGCTGGATCCCGAGAACACTGGGAAGATACAACTCAACCTTCTTTCTGTAAGTCAGCAGCTCACACCAACCCTGGCTCCTGGGAAGGCTGGTGGAAGATGTGTCAGACAGGCTGTCCCTCGGGTGACCTGAACAGGCTGTCCCTAGGGTGACCTGATTCTTTTGGAAATTTTGTTTCTGAGTTTTTTCTGGTCTGGTGGGGATAAGCCTGTAAATGGTTGTAAAGTCCCATGATGCACCTTGATTTTCTATTTCTGAACTACTTGCTGATTCTCCTGCCTAGGAAACCACACCTGGCTCTCTGGTCCCATGAGCTTTGACTGGAGCATAAGCAACTGGTTAAACTAAGATAACAGGGTAGACCAGATGGCTGAGGAAAGAAGTGATCAGCACTTGAGAGAATGTGTTTATAGAATGAAATCCTCTGGGTGGAATTCAGGTTGGGTTCTGGGAAGACCTGCCATTTTAGGGCATACCTACTTGAAGTATATTTTTTGAGACAAATACTTCCATTATCTCTCCTCTTTAACATGAAACTAACAGCAACAATACAGTTATCATATGCCATAATAGGCTTAAAGCCATCATAAAACACAGATATTTACATTATGATTCGTAACAGTAGCAAGGACATAATTTTATGGTTGGGGTCACCACCCAACCCTGTATTAAAGGGTTGCAGCATTAGGAAGGCTGAGAACCCACTGATCTAAATTAATGTGGCAGGAAACTTCACCAAAAAACAAAGCATAGGACATCCTCTTGTCATCCTGCTAACAGAAGGCTCACACTCACAAAAGCAACTGGGTAGCAGAGAGCTTGCTTAATGTTTACACAGCCACGGGTTCAAGCCCCACCATGGCAGAAAAAAATAAATAAAAGCAGCCGAGACTCCAGGACCACATGACTCCAGAAGGCCACAGAAGAATGCAGTGCTGGGTGGGACGGCATATCCATGCTTCCCCATGTCACACAGAGGAGCAGAATGGCAAGAAGATGGGGCTTAGGGTCTAACAACTCTCCTTGAATTTTGAACTCTGGTTTAAGCCAACACTCAAACAGCTGTTCACGGCTCTGTAGTGCATTGTGAAATACCCTCATCCAAGTGGAAACATTTTAGCTAGCTACAAATGACCAGTTGCTGAAAGCTACATAATGTTATATCACCTAGGAAATAGCCTGAGCCTGCGATTTGAAGACAAGTCAATACAACAGGAACATGAAGCATGCTGGGTTCTAGAAACTAGCCTATTTTTCATTCCTGCTGGATAGCCAACGCTGGCTCGCCCAGCCCACTCCCTGCTCACACGTATGGGCCTGTCTACTCTGACCAGTCCCCTTCCTATTTCCTAAGGAACACCTTTTGTCCACCCTTCATTCAGCGTACCCTCCACAGATTCCTGAAGACCCCTTAGCATGCCAAGGATTAGCCATGTCTACAAAGTCTCCTCTTAATTATGCTGTGATTTTCATGATTTTTCAACGTCAGTTGTGGGTTACATCACTCTGGAGAGCTGTGACAAAGTCCTGATGACTTGGTGTACTCCACACCGATTTGGGGGTCTGAGAGTTCCTGTCACTCCAATATAGAACCGAGGTTAAAGCCTGTATTTTCTGGATATCCACATCTCAAAACTTTTATTTTTATTTATTTATTTTTTGAGATAGGATCTCAAAAAATTCCTGGCCGGCCTGGAATTCTTAATGTAGACCAGGCTAGCCTCAAATTCACAGTACTAGTACAGCCTCCCTAGTACTGGAATTCAAGGTATACACCACCATACCAGCCCGAAACAAACCTCCGATGTGATGTGTTGAGGCAAAGGCATGAAAATGCTGGTTCATACATTATTTGAATGTCACCCTTCATATATTCAGTACTACTACAACCACCAGTTTAAACCACACAAATCATCGAACTGTTAAACGAGACACCAGAAGTTAGGTAGAATGAACTGCTAGGGCACTAATGTCTTAGTCCTGCGTAAGCTTTCAGATTCAACCATCTTCCAGCATAACCCAAAGCCATCTTCTATAAAGCCTTTCATTTTAACATTGGTCCCTGAATAACTGGTTCTTTTCTTCACACAGTGGCTGAGTTTTACAGTACTCTGACGTTACATGCCTGAAGACGTCTAACGGAAAAAAAACAGCCAATGCCTAAACTTCCAAACACTTCATATCTGGACCTTGAACTTACGGGAACATTTACTTAAATGGATGATTATACCTGAAGAATATAACCGTCTGAGATAGATGAATTTTCACTTATCAGAATAAAAGATTTGTATATCATTAAACCAAATGCAAATGAAATGCATTAACCCTTGATAAGCTTGAAGCTGTCTGTCTGTAAATAGGATATACTTTTTACTTCTACACATTTTCCTGTTCATAGCAATATTAAATCAGGAAGGAATGCAGAGAGGCATTAAACAACTGGGCAAACAGGAAGTCAATCTCAGAGGCCACAAGGCATTGGTGGGAATATTTTTTTAAAAAAATTTAAGTTGCGGTGGTGGCATCTGCCACAGAAGCCTGGGGACTGCCGCTTGCCCTGAGAAAACTGTAATTATGGTGATGCATCCTGAAGCAGTTTGATGGAGACATCTAATGAATCCAGGAGTCAGGAGTGGTGGCACACCCCTGCAAACAGGAGTCTGAGATAGAGGCCAACCTGGGCTACCTAGCAAGACCCTGTCTCAAAAAAAAAAAAAATCAGAAAGGAAAGGAGGAAGAAGAAAGAAAGAAAGAAAGGAAGGAAGGAAGGAAGGAAGGAAGGAAGAGAAAGGAAGAAAGAAGGAAGGAAAGAAAGAAGGAAGGAAAGAAAAGCATGCCTCCATTATTTGGTCTAACAAGAGATGTTTTTTAAACAGTCATGAACAGCAAGCCGTTCCTAAACTCAAGTCCTTGACCATATTTGGCCTTACACGTTTAAGTCTTACAAATAGTGAATGGTGACAGCATTATACCCCAAGCAACTGTAGCCTTGCATCAGAGCCAGGAAGATCATGATAAAGGACAAACAAACTGTTGGCTGCCTCAAAATTTTATGTTCGATAACCCCAGGGATTGTGCCTAGAGCTGGGGAGGACAGAGCTCAGATGGTCTTCTTAAACAAGCTGGCTTCTTGAACTTGGGAAAATGCTAGCAACATTGCAAGCATATTGCCTTACCTCCTGCCAAATGTACTGTTAATAAAGAGTTGCCAATGCAGTCACACCACACCTTGTTTTTCTTCTGAGTGTGGCCCCATGGGAGGGTTTATGAGCCCACAGGGCTACAGCTTGGCTCTATTTAAACAGGTCTGCAGCCCTGAAAATTCACACACTGAGAAGACACCTTACCTATAATTAAACTATGGGACTACACAATGTTTTAAAACTCTAGTTCAGAAATCCTGGTCATTCAACCAGAAAGGGCAGCCCTAATTTCACCTGCTTGTTAGTCTGTATCATTGCTGGCTCTATCACTTAGGCTAACTCCCATGCCCGTTCTCAGCAAGGAGCTGAGAAAATCCAAGTACTAAATCACAAATCTATGCCAGGTGATGGTAGCGCACTCCTTTAATCCCAGCACTCGGGACAATCTCTGTGAGTTCGAGGCCAGCCTGGTCTACAAAGCTACACAGAGAAAACCTGTCTCAAAAAAAAAAAAAAAATCACAAATTTAGGGGTTATGGCTGTCGCTAGCGATCCTTGAAGAACAATAAAATGAGAAGAAAGATGACCTGATGGGAAAATACTGCCCACTCTTTTAAAGCTTAGGGGATAGATTTTGTTTCTCAGGAGCAGGGGATATATAACAGAGCTTCACAAAGTCCACACAGATCTATGCCTTGAACTCCCTGTCCTTCTGCCTCCACATCCACAGTGGGAATTCCAGCCCCAGGTCAAGTAGTAGATGGCTTTCTCAAAGGCGCTAGAGTGGGCTGGGAAGGCTTAAGAGGCTGGAGAGCATGAATGAGGAGCATGCTCAGGCCATGGTAAGAGCTTCCTCTGTTCAGGACTGGGGCTTTCAGGATGGAGAGGAACGGATTGTACCAGGACTACAGGTGACAAGGTAGCATTGTAGGTGAGGGACTGAGATGGAGTAGGATTGAGGAAGGTGATAGAGTGTCTGAAGTAGGAGGCCAGAGACCCAGCTGCGGGTGGGGGTGGGAGTGAGAGCAGGGAAGCTGAGAGGGGAGAAGGGTCTCGGGTTAGGTGTAGAACAGGCGTGCGGGAGAGCTGGCCACTCCCAGATGGTGGAGGCTATTCTAGACATCACTGGCTGGCACCATGCGGCCAGCCCCACCTGCTGCATTTTTTTTCTGCAGATTTTTTTATTTGATTTAGAAACAAGATTGGTTTACATGACAATCCCAGTTCCCTCTCCCTCCCCTCCTCCCCTCCCCCCC